AAGATGCCGTACACTTTGGGGCCCAGGCCCGTCTGGCTCATCACATTGAGGACGACGGTGTCGTTGAGGCGCTCCGGGTCGTCGGCGTGGTAGGTTTTCATGTGCTTTGACTGGTACAGCTTGATGGCCACCTCGGTGGGCTCTTCCTCATCCTGGTAGACGGGGTTGGCAGCTCTAGGCACTGACTCCTTCAGCTGTACGTGGTACAGCTGATTGGTGAAACCGCCGGAGATTCGCTGTACGGTGATGTCGGCCGGTGAAGTGGCATTCGCCCAGCTGCCGCCAATGTACGACTGTACGAGGGAGAGACAGCGCGCCTCGATGTCCGCCGGCGTGTCGCCCCGGACCAGTTTGTCCTTGCTGATGGTGGTAAAGTCCTCCACCCACTGCTGGGCACTGATTTGAGCTGCTTCATTTTGTTGATTTTTCACTTGATTTTCAGACATTTTTACTGCTGTTGTTTTCCAAAGTAAAAAACCGACAAAAATTAGAAAGACTGTTTTTGTATCTTCCCTTTTATTAAATAGCGGCTCATTCATGTGTCTTTTCCCGGCACTGTGAGATTTTTTGCACTTGTGCACTTGCGTATAGGAAAACTTAGGTTTTATCAAAGCAAAGCAAACTGATTACGACAAGTGAGCGTTTGTGAGCAGGCCACTTTTTGTGCTTTTTTATGATACTAAAAACGTAACAAAAACGGAGCTTTACCATACAAAACCAGACAAAACTGAGGCAACCATTTGCAAAGTTTGTCTGTAATCAACTATTACAGTATTACTGAACAAACCTCAAAGTACGTTTCAAATTACAAATTGATAGATAGGAAAAACGTGATAGATAGGTTGATCAAATTTGAGTTTAATTTTTATTTTCAACTGTCAGTGGACTACTTATACTGTGGAGTTTTACCGTGCAAATGCATTACAAAGGTTTTAGTTTTTATTGTGCACACAGCTTATTGATTAACAACACCAACAACAACTAGTAGTAGCCTTTCTCAATGGCAAGCGCCTTTGCCTGCAGAAAGTCTTCAAACAGTGCTTCAGCCATGGCCTGTGAAAAAAAGAGTATTTTAATTTTTTTAATAATTAAACTAAATATTTGCACTATAGTACGGTGGAAAATGACTTTACCAAGTTTTTCCTTCGATCAATGGGCATCGTCGCAATCAGCCGCTCCTTCTGGCCAATGAGAAAGCCGGCAAAGAAGAGCTTATTGTAGAGGGTGAAGAGGCTCACCTCCCTAAGGTGCGCCTCGAGGCTGTTCTCCGGCCGGCTCGAGTAGCCGGGCGCCACCTCGTCGCAGCACTCAATGTAGGTGGTGAGAAGTTGGCGCAGTCGGTCCTCCTCCATTTCAGCCATGTCGGCCAGTGTCGGCGCCAGTGCCGACATGTCAAGGGCGCCTGTCCTCTGCGCCCACTCTCNGCAATGCCCGCCAGGTCGTAGCCTCGAGCGCCGTAACCGGCGTGCTCCAGGTCGCAGGCGAAGATTTGAGGAGAAGGCTGACCAGTTGTGGTTTTAGTCACCAGCAAGTTTGAGCCGTGAAAGTCGTTGTGCGCAAAGACGAGCGGCGCCGCCAGGGCTTTCACCTTGGCCACCAGCGCATCAAACTCCTCCAAGACGCTGATTGAAGAGAGGCGTTGTAGTTTTAGCTCATCTGCCAGCGCTGAGACGTTGAAGTTTTGGTAGCCATGTAGGATGTAGTCTCTGGCCCAGGGCAGAATCAAGTCGGGCTCCTTGCGGATGGGCACCTGCAGGTGGGCAATGTTGGCCAGCAGGCGCATCAGCTGGCGGCGCAGCGCCGGCTGCTCCATGTGCCGCCCTCGGAACTGCTCATGTCGGTGATAGGCCTGAATGAAGCCGTCGGCGAAGATGCCGTACACTTTGGGGCCCAGGCCCGTCTGGCTCATCACATTGAGGACGACGGTGTCGTTGAGGCGCTCCGGGTCGTCGGCGTGGTAGGTTTTCATGTGCTTTGACTGGTACAGCTTGATGGCCACCTCGGTGGGCTCGTCCTGATAGAAAGAATTTTAAGCTTTAGGAACGGAGGCCTTCAGTTGTACATGATAGATGATAGATGATAGTTGTACATGTCTAGTCAGGCTTGCAGTGGCGCAAACTGGCTTATCTTCTACAAGTATGATTGTGACTGTGATAAAACAAAAACATGATATAGATAAACACGCTGCAAGTTTTTGTTGTTAAACTGGTTTTTAGGCGCAAAATCATTGCAAAAGTTTTTTAATTTAGATTTTACAAAAAAAAGAAAGTTAATGTGTAATTTTGAAAAAAAAACTTTACCAACAACTAATACCAGCCCTTCTCAATGGCGATTGCTTTTGATTGCAAAAAGCGCTCAAACATCGTCTCGGCAAATGCCTGAAGTAAAACAGAAATAAAAAAAAAGTTAGTACAAGTAAAAAAGTTTTTTATATATCAGCGAAAAAATAACTTCCACCCACCAGGTTCTTCTTCCGGTCAATGGGCATCGTCGCGATGAGCACCTCCTTCTGGCCGATGAGAAAGCCGGCAAAGAAGAGCACGTTGAAGAGGTTGTTCAGCTTCACCTCTCTGGCATGAGCTTCTAGGCTATTTTCCGGCCTGCTGGAGTACCCGGGCGACACCTCGTCGCAGCATTCAATGTAGGTGGTCAGAAGGTCAGTGAGGTTCTCATCAGTGGGCGGCGGGGCGGTCATGTCCAGCACCTCCTTCTGGCCCCACTCCCAGAAGATGGTCGCCAGGTCGTAGCCTCGAGAGCCGTAGCCGGCGTGCTCCAGGTCGCAGGCAAAGATTTCCGTCTTATCTTTACCTTGGGTCACTAGCAGATTCGAGCCTCGGAAGTCGTTGTGCGCAAACACTAGAGGCGACTTTAAGGCTTTGATCCGGACGACCAGGGCGTCAAACTCCACCAGTACGTCCACCGTTGAGAGGTACTTCAGCTTGAGCTCCTTTGCCAGCGCCAAAACGTCAAAGTGCTCGTAGCCGTAGGAGATAAAGTCGCGGCACCACTGCAGAATCAGGTCGGGCTCCTTGCGAATGGGCACCTGCAGGTGGGCAATGTTCGCCAGGAGGGTCATTAGCTGGCGGCGAAGCGCCGGCTGCTCCATGTGCCGCCCTCGGAACTGCTCATGTTGGTGGTAGGCCTGAATGAAGCCGTCGGCGAAGATGCCGTACACTTTGGGGCCCAGGCCCGTCTGACTCATCACATTGAGGACGACGGTGTCGTTGAGGCGCTCCGGGTCGTCGGGGTGGTAGTTCTTGATGTGCTTCGACTGGTACAGCTTGATGGCCACCTCGGTGGGTTCCTCCTCCTCTTGGTAGATGGGGTTTTCAGCTTTAGGAACTGACTCCTTCAGCTGTACGTGGTACAGCTGATTGGTGAAACCGCCGGAGATTCGCCGTACGGTGATGTCGGCCGGTGAAGTGGCATTCGCCCAGCTGCCGCCAATGTACGACTGTACGAGGGAGAGACAGCGCGCCTCGATGTCCGCCGGCGTCCCTCCTCGGACCATGTCGTCTTTGCTGATGCTGCTAAAGTCGGCCAGCCATTGCTGAGATGTGTCGCCGTTTTCGGGTGTCGGTGGTGTTGTTTCAGACATTGTTTCCTTGTTTGTAATGCAATCACAAAAAAGGCCTAACTTAAAATGAAAATGAAAAATCTTTTTTGTCTGTTTTTAACTGCTTAACTTTGTTTTGTACCTTTTGTCCGCAACTTTCATTTTGTGTGACATCCTATCAGCCGCCAAATTGAAACAAGTGTGTCAGTGATAAGCCACTGATAGGCTGGATAGATTGGCTGACTTGTGCTAAAACTTTTATTGCTTTTTGTTCAAATTGCCGCAATGTCATCACCAAGGACATGTAATAAATTTGCACCGGTGTTTATTAATTTTGTAATTATTGAAAAATTACAATTTAAAAAAAATGTAATTTTAATACAAATATTTTTAAATTTTATTTATGTTTAGGTTATCGTACGACAACATTTTTTTCTAAACTACTTTTTGTTGTTTGATGAAAATTTTAAACGAGTACAATATAAACGAAGTATAGAGCATAAGCAGCTGTAAATAAAAAAAAATGCAAGAAAACAAAGCTGATCAGTAACCGTCTGGTACATAGGGTGCACTGATAAACAGTTGTCTTTTTTCTGCTATCCCAAAACCTCACTTACCTCTCCCAGCCAGCGGTACTCCACCTTTGAGAGGCTGCCAAAGGTGAAGCACACCTTCTTCTCCGTGCACAGCACCTCGTGGTACGCCATCAGCTTCAGCTTGGTGCGCAGAACGGCCGTGTCAAAGTGGCCTGCTGCAGTGCCTCCCCTTCCGGTTCCACACTTCATCTGCGCACTGTACCGCTGGCCACCAGGGCCGCTGTACAGCGCCCAGACGACCGTCGACAGGAGAAACAGTAGGCAGAAGGTAAGGGCAATGCCCAGAAAGGTGACCAGTAAGGACAGCGTCTCGACGGCGTTCCACTGCAGAAAGTACAGCAGACAGAGGTTGTAGATGCTGAAGATGAGCACCGGGAGGTAGAAGGCGATGATGAGGGGCGAGGCGAGGCGGCCGTTGAGCGCCACCAGGTCCACCAGGAGGCGGGCGTGCTGACGACAGAAGCCGCCCAGCCAGATGGCGCTGATGGCGGTTGTGGCCATAGAGGGACGCAGTGGTCGCTGATAGAGCTGCTGCTGCTGCTGCTGCTGCTGCTGCTGCTGCTGATGATGATGATGATGATGATGATGAAAGTGATAAGGAACACTTCGTCGCAGCTCTGACGCCTTCATCTGACCGACCGCCGCCTGGAACACCTCTCGGGCGTGCAGGCTCCAGGCCGTAGCGGCGAGGAGCAGTGCCAGCTCGGCGGGGAACGTCGCCAGCGACAGTGCCACTGCCATTGGCCCTGAGGCGGCAAGTGCTCTAAGCAGGTTACGGTTTCCGAAAAAGTGCTCCGGCGCGTGCTGGAGAAAGGTGCCCAGGAGGATGCTGGCGGCGCCGGGCAGAATGAAAACGGACTCATTAAACAGAAAACTAAACAGTGACAGCTCGGAGAGGTGGTCGAGCACCGCCAGACGGCGACGGGTTTAGGCGGAGAAGAAGCGGAAGTGGGTCAGACGAGGCGGCGGCGGCGGCGGCGGCGGCGGCGGAAGTGCTGCTTTCTTTGCTCCTCTAAAACTGCTGCTTCGCCCAAGAAAGTCCTCAGTTAACCAGACAACGCTTTCCTGTGCCAGTTGAAGCAGGTTCCTTAGGAAGTTTTCCACTGAAGTGGAGGAAACTGTTAAAGTGTTCTCGCCTGTCAGTCGCCTAAACAACTGGCTGATGCCTGTAGGCAAAAAAGGAAAAATTAATCAGATTTACGACGTTAAATTAAGTTTTTTTTAATATCTTTTCATCGCTTTTACCTTCACTACGCAGCAGATCAGTGAGCATGGGCGCCACCTTGCGGTTAGGCCGCACGGCCAGCGTCCAGTCAAAGGCGACATTGCAGCTAGTGCGGGAAAAATTTTTTTGGAAACTCTTACATGTTGTATACCATTGTAAAGCTTAAAAACTAAACTTTAAGAATATGCAATCAGATTTCAAAAAAGTTTAACTGTTCTAGGATAAAAGTCAACTTTAAAATTTTTTGTAAATTTTGGGAGAACCTTGCGACATTGCACTCTACCCGAAAAACAGTTTCGATTTTCAAAATTTTTAAAACATCATCATGTTCTTGAAAAGTATTTCTTCCGAACTTATCAAAAATTTTAATTTTTAAAAGCTAAAATGTAACTGTTTAGAATTTTTAAAGTAAATCAAAAGTTGAGCGCGCGAGCCGGTGCCCTATGACTTTTTTGTTTTGGTTACGTTTAGCTGAATGACCCCCACCCCCTTTCACGCCAGTTGACTGAAGGAACCAATGGAAAAAGTGGAAACTTCAAGAAGCCAGTAAGTTTTTCAAGTTTCTATCCAGTTTTTCAAGTCTGGAAATCAGTCAGCAGGCGTGAATGGGGGTCATTCAGACAAACGTAACCAAAACAAAAAAAAGTTGAGCCTAAGAAAACACGCTAAAATAAACTGCCAAACAAGAGTAAAATTGCTTTAACTAGCCACATCAGGAACTTCATGAAGACTTCTTCTACTTTGGGTGCACCAGTGAAAGAGCTGCTCCAGCGCCAGTGCTCCACCGGCAAGCAGCAGCCCCAGCGCCCACATGACAAAGACCGAGGCTAGCATCTGTCGGCTGATGTTGAGAAAATGGGCGCTCTCCTTGGCGGCGCCAGTTCCGGTTGAGGCCGAGTTGGGATTCTCATTCAAACTTCGCGCCCTTACTTTAGTGCCCATTCGCCGGGCCATGTGGAAGATGGTCGCCTTCAGCCAGTAGACGAAGAAGCCCATCTCTCGCATTCGGATAATACTGTCAGTTGGTAAAAAAAAAGTTCGAAAAATCTCAAACAAAAAAAATTAAAAAAAAAGTTCTTACATTATATTGAAAGGTTTTCGCAGGGGCGACCGCCGCTGCAGCGGAATCGCAATCTGATTCTGCTCAATGCCCTGCGTGCCAATGTGCAGTGGTTTTTTAGCAAACAGCTGCCGCCGAACCATCAGATTAATACGAGTGGCAATGGCCACCACCGGTTTCCGGTAACTGGGATTCCCTTCTGCCTCCTCGACTGTGCTGATCAGGTCGTCCATCGTCTCGATCATTGGCCTCGCCGTGCGGTTCATGTGCACGCCGATGGCGTGAAAGAGCTGCCCACCTGTGCCCGGCCTGGCGTAGATGAAGTTCATCAGCATGCTGGTTTCGTCTTTGGTGAGAATCAGGTGGGAGTCAGACTGGGCTACTTTAAGGAGGTCGGCTGGACTGTCCACCGGTGGAAGGTAGGTGGGCACGGTGAGGAGGGAGTAGATGTTGGAGCTGTAGGCGGTGGAGAGGATCAGAGCGGCCAGGGCCCAGAAGTTGTAGGTGCACTTGAGCGAAGTGGAGGCCTGGCGCGGGCAGTTGATTGCTGGGGAAAGGGAAAAAAGATCAATTTATTTGAGTACTTAAAGTACGGGTTTAGTAGCACCGTACACTGCTTGAGGTAGATGCCGTACATCTCCAGCAGCACCACCTGATAGGAAAGTCGCCAGTGATCATTGCTTTGAGGAAGGTAAGAAAGTTGGTTTCTGTAGGCGTAGATCATCGAGCAGAACACCGCTGCGGAAAGGACGTAAGAGGCGAGATTCAGCAGCCAAAGATAGTGGCCCATGGCGTCCACGAGGTAGTCGGTCCGGGCGACGCCCGGCGCCACCGAGATGAAGGTCGTCTGGTCGAGGAACATGTAGTGCGAGTAGTCCACTACCTGGAAGCGGGCCTCGGTGATGGAGATCTCGCAGAGGCCGAACTGGGACGTCTGGGGAGTTTAAAACAGCGTTTTAATAAGTGTTAACAAAAAATTAAATAAACTTACCCCATTGACGATGCTTCCAATCACCCCGGTCCACTGCCCGGCGCGATTGATTAGCCCCCACCGTCGACGGGCGTCAATGAGGTTGCTCTGAAAGAAGTATCGTTTTTCCAAGACACTCAACAGCTGCATTTCAATGGAAAACCGAGCTTTAAGTTTTCCACCATTAGCCTCATCGCGTACTAGTCGACAGAAGGGAACGTCATTGTTTACGGTCACATTCACCACTAAATTGTGCAGATTGCACTGGCTGTAGTGCACTTTGAGTCGGGCAAAATCAAGCTCACTTTTTGGCGCAAAAACCCCTTGAAGTTGGAGGCACCCATCAACAATTGGGTTAAGGTGAATCACAGGGGTACTTTGTTGATTGCCAGCTGAAGAGAAAACTAAAATAAGCTTAAAGTTGCTGTTCAACTGTTTGTATACGCGATTTGTTAGATCAGCTAGATCGTTTGAAGAGATTTGACTGCTGCTGAAGAGTAGTATAAAGGGTAAACAAGCGAGGCATTTTTTGTAGAGAAAGTTTAATGATGAAAGGAGAAGGTGGAAGGATTTG